CTGTATTTTGATCCACCCGAACCAGCGCTTGCACGGAGAAATGTTTGCATTTGCAGTAGGCTTCTAAATCCATGAAGACTGATTTCCTAACAGTTTTACTCAGTGATGACTGTTGTGCTACTCTGAAGGGTCCAGATGGAGGGAGTTCTGGCTTGTTGGTGGATGGCCACCATGTGCCAACAAGCCTGCAGCTTCTGCGAGGGTTTGCCTGAATAATGCTTTGAGGTCATTGGCCCTTCGACGACTTATGGCAAGAGAAAAAACACAGCGAATAAGAGAGGGGTTTTTTTTCCCGGAAAATGGAGGATAGGGTTAAAAAAAAAATCTGAATTTGCCAATATGTGGCGTTTCTCGCATTGACTGTTTAGGCAAATGAACAAAAAACATGGCTAACCGTTTGGAATGTTGTGTTTTTCTTCAGCCGAATGGAAGACTCCATCGAAGTTATCCTGCAAGACTTTGAGAAAGTCCTCCCTTTGAGCAGTCCTCATCCGTTGTTGTCGGCCTGCACCGGCGCGCTGTTCGCAGGCCTCTATGGAGTGTGGAGCCTATTCACGATGCCCGGCTTCCGCAAAATCCCATCCAACCTGAAGGTGACTCAATGTTCTTCTTTTTTTTTTTTTCCTCCGTTACATTGATGACCCGCCTGCTTGCTTTGTGAAATATCAGTTCAAATTAAGGCCGACTTGCACATTAACAATCATCTGCTTTTTTTTCTGTGTGTCGTGGTAGCAAGAAAGGTGAGCAAAGAAAAAGTGGTCGGTAAACTGGATTATATACATGACATCTTAAAGAGATGTTTTGTTGGACGTAATGCTAAATCTTTTCCACTATCAAATCAAGAAAACACGCTGATCTGGAGGTGATTGTCCTTAAGTGAGTTGTGGTTTGATGCAATTCTCCTGCAATTTATTTACCTTGTCTCGCGGATTTCTAAGATTTTGTTTTCCTTAAGATCCATGTGGGACTCAATAAATTAGAAATCGGTATACTGTTAGAATAAATCGACAAAATATATTTGTGAAATCAGTTTCTTTTATAGAATTACCGTATTGTCATCATGGGTGTCCAGCGGGTGTAAATCGATTTATGTGTACTGTGGTGCAGGTGCCCTATCTGCCCTCCAGTAGAGATCAAACACTGAACATCATGAAGCTGCTCGAGGGCCGCACAGGTCGCTTAGCAGATCTGGGATCGGGAGATGGGAGGCTGGTGCGTGAGTTGCTACGCCTTCACTACAAGTTTGTCCTGTTTAGTGTGGAATACACTTGTATTTTAGCAATTAAACTTGTGGTGGGGGCCTCCGCTACCCATCAGAGCAGAAAAAGCAGCAAGGAGGATGGGCAGGAACAGTAAATCAGACGCACTGAGGAAAAGATTCCAAAAACAAGCAAACCCCTCTCATGAATGTTATGCGAGTGTTTTGCTTTTTCTCTGGCTCGTATTCAAGTCTAGGTGTCAATTCGCCATTATGCCTTGGTCAATCATGATTAATGTTGAGTGTTTTGTTATTTTTACATTTGAACAGTGGTTAACTTCTTATTACACTTGCACTCATGACATCAAAAAATGAATCCTGCTTCAAAAAAATGCCTGTATAGTTATTTTTATTATTTTTTTATGGTGGCAGATTAGCTCAAAACCGATTATTGGATGTCTTCCAAAACTTAACAAATAAAAACAGCATTTCAGAATACCATTGTACGAATAGCATAGTTTTCTCTAAGGTTTGAAAAACGTGAAAATTGTCAGTAGGGTGTGAATGTGAGTCTGACTGGTTATATTTCTACTTTATATGCACCGTATAGTGTATTGCACTGAAAACATAATGGTCGAAGTGGACTCCAGAGCTAATGGAGATCCTAATAAATGCAAAGCACCCTGGGATTTGACCGACAACCAGCACAGCTCTATCGAAAGATGAATGGATGGAACCCCTGATGCAAAATGTTTAATGACATGAAATTGTCTCATCTCTCAGGTGTTTGCCGCCTCCTCTGCTGGCTTCAAGTGCACTGGCTTCGAGATTAACTCCATTCTTGTTGCGTATGCCAGGTCAAGGGCCCGTTGGACCGCAGTGCCTTCCAGCCAGGCTACCTTTGTTAAAAAAGACTTTTGGAAGGTAAATATATGGCTGTGGGTTGTCTATGGGTCTTGTGTTAACATTTGATGTATTTCTTCTACCCATAGTCTAATTTGTCACAGTACGACAACGTGACGGCTTTTCTAGCTACAGGAGTGGTGAGTCGAAGCTTTCTGAACGTTTCACAACAGCGGTTTGGCTGATGCGGCCTCTTCCGATGGCTCGACAGATGGAAGTTCTCGGAGAGAAGCTGCTGAAAGAACTTCCTGATGATGCCCGCGTCATCGCTTGCCGCTACCCTTTCCCCGGCTGGCCTCACCAGTCCACTCTCGGGTCAGGACTCAACCAGACATGGGCCTACGATATTGGCGTCGTGCGGTCCAGTCTGAGGGAGAGCCTCAAGTAATGTGAAAGAGCAGTTGGGGCTTGTATTTGCGCTCAGGTGACCCTCTATTTGTGCAAAGCATATTTACGCAAGATTAGGATGATGATTGAAGAGAATGACTCTTTGGCGTATATCTGAATGTCCTGCACTACTTGCTCACCTTTGATAAGTCGAAGCATTTCATGTTCGCATATGTGAATTTCATCGTAGTCGCTTTTTGTATAGCATATATATATTTTTAATGTTTCTTTAAAATGTGCTTCGTCAGGTTGATCATACTCTGACCTGGAAGTTGCACTTGAAAACAAACCCATCATGGAAGAAAATGCATCTTGAAATTTGATTTTCAGAATTCCCCCGGATCTGAGCTAAATTGCACTACACACAGCACCGCCCAGGGGGCGCTCGTGCTTCAAACAGCTGCGAAGACAAACCACTATGTGCTTGACGACTACATAAATCTAACAATACTAATACTGTCTATGTATATGTGTGTGTGTGTGTGTGTGTGTATAAAATTTCCCCTTCAAATATGCTAAGTTAAAACTAAGCTAATTGTAGACCCCTTTTTTTTTTCCCCCCGAAGTCCTAAAAAAATTTAAAAAAAATAAGTATCTGGGGTTGAACGTGTGGAGTGTGAAAAGACATATAAATATGTTTTTGGGAGTGAATGAGTTTTTAAATTTATGTTCTTAAGGATTTTTTCCATGTTTCTCTTGATGCCAAAATAAAAAAAGAATCCTGTCACAACCATTATCAACCGCTTCAGAGTTATATCTAAAACATTAGTACAGCTACTGTCTATGCTTTTGGATGCCTGAGCCCAGTACTTGCATTTTTATAGCACAGGACGTAAAGAGAAATGCTGTGACGTCACAAAAGAGGCGGAGTACAGAGGGCGACGCAGTATATAAACTGAGGCGCCTTCGTTGGGCGTGCATTGAGATTATAGCGGGACGAGTGTACAGACAGAACTCTCCTGCGCACACGATAAATGGAAGTACAGAGCACTACCGGGCTTCAGCAAGCAAAGAGCGGCAACATGTGCGAGTCGACGCCGAGGTCCTGCGAGTCTCGGCGCAAGAAAGCAGAGGAGCGCGGCGCTCCCTCGGAGATGTCTCGGATCATTACCGACCCGGCCACCGGCAAGTGCTACTGCCGGGGCAAAGTTCTGGGAAAGGTACAGAGGAAGAGAGAGATGCAGCACGTAACTTTTATGGATGTTACCAATTCAATCTTTAATACACACACCATTTTTGTCTTTGTAGGGAGGCTTTGCCAAGTGCTACGAGATGACCGACCTCTCCACCAGCAAAGTTTACGCGGCCAAAATCATCCCGCATGCCCGCGTGTCTAAGCCGCACCAACGGGAGAAGGTATCAACCCATACATGCAATATTTTTTTCCCAATTTAATCAAAACAATCCTTAAAAGAAAACGCTTTAAAAATGTGTTTTAACAATTCTGATGTTTTGTTTTCTTCCCATCTATAGATTGACAGAGAAATCGAGCTGCACCGAATACTCCATCACAAGCACATAGTGCACTTTTATCACCATTTCGAGGACAAGGACAACATTTACATCCTGCTGGAGTACTGCAGCAGAAAAGTTAGTCACATGCGCGTCTTGTAACTAGCATGAGGGGTGGGCAACCTTTTTCCCGCCGTTTACTTTGCCTGCACACTATTCCTGACCTGTGCCATTCTATCCTATTGGCTACTTGTTGCCTCCCTTCCTCACATGGCTCTGCACTGCCTTTCCAGTCCATATGGGTATCATCTAAAAAGCATGAGAAGGCATACAAATCTACCACGCCCCGTGACTTCTAATCTGTTGTACTAATGTGCTTTACCAGTTTTTCTTAATTGTATGGTAGACAAGTCCAATTGCTCTGCATTAGTGATTCCCAACCCCTCTGCCACAGCACATTAGTTTTTTCCGTGAGAGGTGCGCCGCAGGAAATTATCCGGATTCACCAAATTGGTGCAGAAATGATTATTTACTATGCATAATGTGTCTTTGGTGACTATCAGCACCAATGCTGAGTAAGTGAATTTGTTGACGACATCATCATTGCTTAAGTATATATAGCTACTTTCTGTGTCCTTTTTGTTTGCTAGTGTGTCATTTAAACTGTGCTGTGGCTCAGTAAAGGTTGGGAAATACTGCTCCCTATTGCCCACGGGACTGTAGGTTTGCAACCCCATTCATGCTTGCACCGCGCACCGACTACTCTGCATTTCTTTCCTGTGTCAAATTGCATGCCTGACTCTTGTTCTTTTTCTCGCAGTCCTTAGCACACATCCTGAAGGCCCGCAAAGTGCTGACCGAGCCAGAAGTGCGCTACTACCTGCGACAGATCGTCTCTGGCCTCAAGTACCTGCACGAGCAGGAGATCCTGCACAGGGACCTCAAACTGGGTAGGTCTTACATGCATTCAACGGCACGCGTGTCGAACAGAACGGCAGCCTCGTCATCTTGCCCGTTCTCATCTTTCCCTTTATCACATACAGGTAATTTTTTCGTAAGTGAATCCATGGAGCTGAAGGTGGGCGACTTTGGTCTGGCAGCCAAGCTGGAGCCGGCGGGGAACAGGAGGAAGACGATATGCGGGACTCCCAACTATCTTTCCCCCGAGGTGCTGAATAAGCAGGGCCACGGCTGTGAATCAGACATCTGGGCCCTTGGCTGTGTAATGTGAGTAGACTTCTAAATGAGTCCGAATGTGACCCTTCTATATCGCTGATGATACTAAACAGACAGAAAGTGCAACAAATACATTATCACTTGAAATGCACGGTCGCATTGGGATAGGATGCACCTCACCGGTGACCCCCAAATGAACAAAACTGCGATAGAAAATGGATGGCTCGAGCCTCATGAGCACCGTCTGTCCGGCTCCAGGTACACCATGCTTTTGGGAAGGCCGCCGTTCGAAACCACCAATCTGAAAGAGACGTACCGGTGCATCCGCGACGCTCGCTACTCCTTGCCCTCCTCGCTCTCGCCACAGGCCAAGCAGCTCATCGCCAGCCTGCTGGCCAAAGCGCCGGAAGACAGACCCGACCTGGAACACATCTTGAGACACGACTTCTTCACACAGGTAGGATGCAAATTTTCCAAAGGGCGGGAGCACTTTAACCTCCCTCCCTTCTTACAGCAGGTGCTGACCCACTTTGGTGTCCACTTTTGCAGGGCTTCAGTCCCGAGCGTTTGTCGGCGAGCTGTTGTCACTCCGCCCCTGATTTCCACGTTTCAAGTCCCGCCAAGAGCTTTTTCAAGAAAGCGGCAGCGGCCCTTTTTGGAGGCAGACGGGACAAGGTCAAATACTACGAGACTCTAAGTGAGTAAGACTGATTTACAGTACTGTAGCCCTCAGTGAGCATTTACCAACTTCGTCCACCTTTATCCACCACTATCACTACTATCCAAAAATGCAACACAGCAGCATGCCACATACCTCATCTGGAGCTGTTCAGAATCAATATATATCTAATGGCTTGACAGAAAAAGGAATTAAATGTTTCATAATCACCAGAGATAGCGGTGATTAAATCTTTTTTTTTTTTTTTTCTTGTTGCAGACAAGTTAACCAAAGAGGAAGAGGAGATCTACAAGCTGCAGCATGACCTGGAACGAACTGTCATCAGCCAGCAGCAGTGCAAAAAGACAGCTGAGGTAAAAAAAAAAAAAAAAAAGATTCAATTGCATTTGCAATTTTTCATACAGTCCTTAAGTGAGCAAGTTACACAGCATGTTCAGAAAGCCGGTTATTTTCAACCATTTCGGGTTGAGTCATAGTGGACGGAGATGAATCCTACTCCAAGTGCCATCGCACATTTTCAAACACTGTCGTCATGCGTTTCATCCGCCTCAGAATGGAAGTCTACTTCCGCCATCTGCCCAAAGTACCGTCGCCCTGGCAACGGAGAGCCGATCCCTGACGACGACGCGAGATACTATCCGGCTAATCGTCAGGGGGAGTCTGGGGAGTTGCAGCAGCAGCAGCAGCGAATGTGAGTTATGACGTCTGCGTTGCTACACTGGCCAATTCAATAGGGACACCCGATAGTTTAGTGACATGTCATGAAAGAGCCGTGCTAAAAATCCTGCTATATGCCTTATTCGACTTGTCATGTACAAACCAATGAAAAGCTTTAAATCCATACCCTGTCGTCCCTGAAGGTCTAGAGTACAACACCACGGGGAGCGTCGCCGACACGGTCGCCGGCGTGTTGAGGGGGTGCCTGGAGAGCATGCCTAAAGGTGAGTCGGTCACCGCCAAATGCGTCAGTCCCAACAGATCCGGTTTTGAGGTGTTGATGCTATTGTCGCTATCGCTGATCTCTATCGCTAACCAAAACAGCAGCACCTATCGATTAATTAAAGCCCCAAATCAAATGCCCGTTGTGAATACGCGCAGTGTGGAGTTAGCGACTTATCGCTTCCTCCTCCAAGCATGAATCCGAAAATGGCAGGAATGCGAATTGCAGGCCGTCTTTCTGGGAAATGGCTCCTAATCCGCCTCGTTCTCATGTTTCTTGATGTTTTCCGCCCCGCAGCCGACAACATTCCTCAGAGCGCGACTAGTTGCGGCCTTCAGTGGGTGACCAAGTGGGTGGACTATTCCAACAAGTACGGCTTTGGATACCAGTTGTCCGACCACACCGTGGGCGTTCTCTTCAACAATGGCACTCACATGAGCCTCCTGCCAGACAGAAAGTACGCGCCACCCCAAATGTTACGCTATGCAAATGTTGCCAAGTGCTGTTCAGCCATTGACTTAAAAAGTATCTATTTGAGCTTTTTAAAGGGTTTTTCCTCACTCTCACTCTTTTTATCTTTCCCCCAATTCTTCACCAGGACAATCCATTATTATGCAGAGTTGGGCCAGCGCTCTGTTTTCCCAACCTGCGAAGTTCCGGAACACTTTGTGGGCCAAGTGACCGTGCTCGAGTACTTTTCCCACTACATGGAGGAGAACCTCATGGATGTAAGATTTTCATTCATTGTGCTACGGGACGATTGCATGCCGGGGCATGTTGGATGCTAATCGTATTGCATTCTCAGGGCGGGGACCTGGGCAGTATGACGGATGCACACATGCCCAGACTCTATCTGCTCCAATGGCTCAAATCGGACCGCGCCCTCATGATGCTCTTTAATGATGGCACTTTCCAGGTAAACACACTCAGGGAAAACATGGGTGGTTGCCAGGAGCAACGAGATAACAGTACTAAACTCCTAACGACATTGTAAGAGGCAATACACCGACTGTAAATGTAACATAAAAGTAAGAACAAAAGTTCTGTTGTAATGGTAAGGTCAACTCAAATGGAATTGTTATATCTTGTGATGCAACTGGGAATTAGGACACAGTGACGCTGATGAAGTCCAACCACAGAAATATAACATAAGGTACCATTGAAGTTTTGTATAATAGACTGTATCTTGTGGTGCGTTCATGAAAACTGGGAGTTTGGAAACCTCAAAATGCAATCTGATGATCTGAAGTTTTGTCTTGTTTATCTGACGTATTTTGTGCTTTTGAAACCTTTTGAAAGATTAAATTGACAAACCTTGATCAGGACCGCCATTCGCATAGAATCGGATCAGAGTTGACATAGAGGTCTGAGTTTCTTGGAAAAGAAAGGTCAGAACAGGTGAAATACTTTAAGTGTCATGTCATGAAACCATTTTAATTGTGAAATGGGTGTTGGCTTATCATTCCTGATGAAAAGCAAGCGTTTGGAAATGAGCTCTGACGTGCGCAAACAAACGCTGTCCACAATGTTTGAAATGTCGTCATGGATACTCCGACTCAAAGTCAGATGACTGTACCGGGATGTTGCAAAAGGAGTTAAGAGGATGAATTAAAAGTGAAACCTAAACATGCGCAAGGGTCTCTGCATTTTAGGTTCATCCTGTAATTTCACACGAAAGCCCAATAATCCAAACTCTAATGTGCGGATACTGAGCCGTACTCAAGCAAATTGCACACACTCTCTGATTGCAAGTGGAAACTTTGTGTTTCAGTCCGTTACACTTTCCCGATTCAAATTTCTGATTTCGGGAATGCAAAATTGAAACTGTAAACGGGAAGCCCGGATCGGGAACACAAACAAACCCATTCTCTGGGGAAATCCTCTTTTGGTGAAGAGGAAACAAAACAAAACAAAAAAAAAATAGCACATAGCCTTGCAACTCTTCAGGGTTGTCAAACTTTTCACCGTGGTCCTCATTGTGGGCCGCTGTGAGTAAAAAAAAAAAAATCACAAATGTATCATCATCACATTATATGACGTACGCAGATTGCCCTGCTTTTGACAGGATTGAATTTCGAATCAGAAATCATGGAACATGGTGACGACTAAATATTTTAAATCAACGACCATTGTCAAACGTACGATAAGGGGTTTGACGTGAAACGGACAAAGAATTTGAAGAAAGGAAAAACAAAATTGCAGATTTTTCAGCCAAAATGAAATTTCACAAGAACCTGGACGCATGTGCTGTCATTCCCAAAGGTGAACTTTTACCACGACCACACCAAGATCATCCTGTGCTGCCAGAGGGACGAGTACATGCTGACCTACATCAACGAGGACCGCGTCTCGAAGACCTTCAAGCTCAGCTCGCTGCTGGCGTCCGGCTGCCCCGCCGACCTGCGCGAGCGCATGCGCTACTCGCTCAAAATGCTGCTGCAGAGGTGCAGCTAAGGACCTTACCCTGCACCGATGCGTGCGTGAGACACATGGACTCGCACATCCCCCGCAGAGCTCGCATCCGCCGGGGGGAGGAACTGCGCAAGTGGAATTGTGGAGGAACGACAAACCGGATATCACGAGTGACCGTATGCGATGGAGGCAAAATGAGGTTTCACTGGAGGAGAGAGGACGAGTATGTTGGACCCGGGAATGTCGGTACGATCCGGATGTTGTTGGACAATGAGAGAGAAAAGAGGATGTCTTTTGGGAAGAGCGAAAAGCTGGGCTGGCACCAGCTTGAAAATCAAAAAATTAAAAAAAAAAAAAGAGGCTGCGAGACTGTCTCACTAGAGTCAATGATGTACAGTGTAAGATAACATGCTAATATGTTGCGTGGATGGGCCAGGGTTCAAGTGTTTTTAAAAATATGTACGTCTGTTTGTTGGTGTGTGTGTCTGAGTCAGTGTGCGTGGGAGGGTTGTCATGCAAAAAAAAAAAAACAACCCAGTGATTTCTTCTCTTCGACAACTAGACTGAGCGCACAGGGGTGAGGGAGGATGGGTTTGGGTTTTTTTTTTAGAATACTTAAAGAGCCACTAGCACCCCAGTCAAAAAAAAAAAAACGATATAACTTATTGTGTACAAAAATTGACGTATTTATTTATTTAATAATAAAGTGCATTTTCTTAAAAGTGTTTGTGTGTGCGAATTGTTCTTTTTCTACCTAATCCTATGAAGAGCAGAGTGCTAAATGCAATTTGGGAAATAATTGTAAACTGAATGTGCTCCTATTTTCCATGACTTCTGATTTCAAATTCAACTTTTTTTTTTGTTCAAAATCTACAGCATACTCAATAACAAGCAAATGTATCGTGTGCGTAATACGATGAGGTGCTTATACATCAACCTCGAAACCAGAGAAACCATAACTACATGCGACCCGTGCTAAAAATGAGTTTGACACCACTGACTGAGATGTCCACTGGCCTTTTAAAGTGAGACATGAACACTGAAAAGAAAGCCAGCAAAACGGTTGAATTGCAAATTCCAAAAAGGTACACCAAGATAAATAATCCGATATTCCCAAATAAAGTTCAGCTGTTCTTTTTCCAAACATATTTGCTGTCACATTGCACAGCACAAGCAACATGGTCTATTCCAGCCTTTTGTGGGTCCACAATCTTTTTCTTGACTTCTTTGGAAAAATAGTTTGCCTTGCCAATGGTTGTATGGATATCGGAAGATAAGAAATGAATTCTTAATTGAAGTGCGCTTTAGTTGAAGTGCGCTTTATATTCATGACCAGTTGAAATCCGGGCCATTGTCATATGGGCAAAAGCCACTCTATAGAAACCAGAATTTTGGATGCTGTGGATGGAATACTCATTTCATTCAGTATAACGCACAGCGTTTTATGTTGCCGGATTTTGAATGCGTTTTTGACTCCCGTAATATTCTGCCTATTACCATGATCAATAAAACTGGAGAATGTTCATTGTAATGTAATGAGAGCCCATCAGCCGATTGCATCATATTTCATCTCAACCATTTTGCTTTTTTTTTTTTGCAGCAGCAGCATTTTGAATGTTGTTTTCCCACTCAAAAAAACAAAAACAGTTTCTGAGGGGAATGATACAACGCAATACATTCTTTATTTACATAGCGCCTTCACAACAGCTGCAGTTGTAACAAAGTACTTTACGGAACAGTAATCCAACGGAACACATAACATAAAACATTGACAGTCATAAAATCGAAATAGCTATTCCGACATACGCCTTGTTGCTTGAAGTCGCTAAATGGACCTTAATGACACTCCCCTCTCTCTTTTTCTGGTCTAAATCAAAACAAGTATGTTATCTAAACACGAGGGTTCGGAGCGAGGAAATGGTCGAGATAGAAGAGGATGTCAACAGTAAAGGCTTCAACTCAGCAAAGATTGACCTGATGTGACCTTGGCGAACTTGTCTCATGGTGACGTGACTTTAGTAAATAACGACTGCCTCCAAGCGAATTGGCGGGCCGGCAGTAGCGCTAAACTGAGATTAATTTTATGTGGTGCAACAGAGCACTGCTTAATTTTAAAACCAGATTAGCTCATTGTAAATTTAGTTTGACTAATCTCTGATTAGAGCTCATTTTAGATTAAATTAAACCTTGGTGCAACCCAACCTCAAGGGGGTATTTTATTTTGTCATTTCTAATTTGCCATATTAATTTAAATACAGGGCAGCCTGGTGGGCCAGTGGTTAGCGCGTCGACCTCACAGTGCAGAGGTAACGGGTTCAATTCCAGCTCCGGCCTCCCTGTGTGGAGTTTGCATGTTCTCCCCGGGCCTGCGTGGGTTTTCTCCGGGTACTCCGGTTTCCTCCCACTTTCCAAAAACATGCACGGCAGGCTGATTGAACACTCTAAAATTGTCCCTAGGTGTGAGTGTGAGCGTGGATGGTTGTTCGTCTCTGTGTGCCCTGCGATTGGCTGGCAACCGGTTCAGGGTGTCCCCCGCCTACTGCCCGAAGACGGCTGGGATAGGCTCCAGCACCCCCCGCGACCCTTGTGAGGATAAAGCGGAACAGGAAGTGGATGAATGGAATTTAAATACATCAAGAGGATTTGGGACTTTTTATTTTCAACCTGATTTTTTTTCCCCCTCAACCAATTCTGCCCATTAAAGCCACATTCTTTTTCCATTGTTTTCAAAAGTACTAATTGTAATCCCTCAAGTGAAAAAAAATTGGGTTTTTTTTCATTTTAATGTTTTTTTGTTTTTTTTTCCAGTTGACTAATTTCCGGATATGTTTGACTCTCACTGAATTGAAAAGATCCATTCAACGGCAAACTCAAATGAGAGGGGAAAACGTGCGGTTCTTCTCTCCGTCTTTGTGAACGTCAGTCAGAGGTCAATTCGATGCATCTCACACCAAAATGTTCCGATTTATGCTTCCGCTGAGCACCTCTTTACCTCTGCAGCTCGCTCGCTTACTTATATAACGACTGCAGTCCGGTGTCGAGGCTTGAGTCATCCACTTCAGAGGTTCCCTCGGAATATCGGTGCTCAGCGGAGCTCAATAATACATGGCTCAAGCGTAGACCATCCCCGTGCGGGGAGGGCGGAACAAGAAGTCAAGGTCCACGTGAGGGAAGGAGTGGGAATTATTCATGCTTTTTGACGGTCATGCACACTCCAAATAGACGGCGGATGTTGACATTGCGTGGCATTCAATGGCGTTTTGACCTTGCAACCTCGCATTTTGTTTGGTCCAAAAGGAACTGAAATAATGATAGTGTTTCAAATGATCGGAATTGTCTTCATATTTTTTTTTTTTTTTAACGTTTCAACACTTTCTTTCATACCCAAAAAATAAATGTCAACTTTGACCTCAATAATCTTTTTTTTTTTCGTAATCATGCAGCCCTAGCTTGGGCCATGCAGTTTATAGCCAGCCTAAGTTGCAAATTATGACGCAGCATTGCTCCGAAAAGTCCTTTGAGCTAGTTTGTCTTGGTTGGTTGTGATTTGGAAGCAATTATGCATATCTTTGAACCACATGGTGAACTCTGTGCTTGTTATTACCGGCTAATTACCTGCTTTTATAATTGGTCACATGGTTCCAGTAAATGGTGAAATGTCGTAGACTTCCTCGTTTCTACATGACCTGATTTCGTTCATGCTGCGAGTAGAAATAGATCTTTTCACCCCCCCCTCCTCAAAACCCGCCGTTTTCCGTTTCTGTTTATTCCGTTGCAACAAAGTCGAACCCAATTGTAACCACAGCTTCCAAGTTTCTCCGCCCACAAGGAAGCAACGCGCCGTTGCAGAAGATAAATGAGCTGAATTTAGGTGTGAAGATAATTGCTGTTTTGCAGAAGCAACAGTCCAGAAGACACGGCGTTCCGTACATACCAACGAATCCAGGGGCGTGTGCTCCTGTCTAATCGTTCCACTTACCTAAATCAAATGTGTCAACATGTCTGCCAACTGTCTATCCGCCCAAAACCTTGACCGGTATTGCGCAACCAACGACACATGTCGTAAATATTTCTCGGTGTGGACAAACGAGTGTGACTCAAACCACAGGCGACAAATTCCACCTGAGTTCTGACATACTTGGCCCCCAAAAAAGTTGAGTCTGATTCTAACCATGCATCATGCGGCATTCTATTTCTAAAAGTTTTCTGTTTCCCTTTCAAGCAGTGTCGTGTAATGCCCTGGAAGACGTTGAGCAAAGCTCCCCTTGAAATGTGCCGAGTCATTAAATGCAGCCCTGCCTAGTTGAGTAAGGAAGCGCGGCAGGCCTCAAAGCTACGTTTCAAACGAGTGACTCACTGAAGAGTTGGGTGCAGAAAGCAAATTCGACACAGACATGTCCCAAGTTCCAAGGGAGGGGCCGCATTGCTCAACAAGTGTTAATGCTCGCAAACACTCGCAAATCCTTAACATTTCACATCCTGGTGACTCAAACTTGGAGTCGTTGCAAATCAATGCAGACGTTTAACAAGTGGCCATGTGGCAGAACCATACACAGTCTGCCGCCACCTCCTCACGCTAGTTAGCACGGCTTGAATTTTCCTCGTATCGGTCCGGCCATACACTCCTGTGGAGCGGCATACAATATAGCGGCGGCGTATGCTGGCATGGATACCAGACTTTGGTTTAAATGCCATTGATGAATTCTTCCAAATATGGAAAATCCTGCATGGCCAACTGTCGCTTGTCAGGTGACGTTCACCACGGCGTCAGAGCCTCCTGCGTACGACTCCGGCACATTCTTCCCCCTCCCATTGAAAAAAAAAAAAGCCGCGTACCCTTAAATGAGCATGACGTGAGGTCAGAGTCGTCAAGCACAGTATTTCCGCGCCGGGCCAATCAAACTCCATCACGTCTCGCTCTTAAATGGGCAGACTGCAACCGAGCTGAGTGGGAGACACGCCGCTGCTTCCATGGCAACCGCCTCTCTCGCAAGCGCTCTCTCATTGTCGTCCCCCGCGTGTAAACATCTGCAGTCCATTTGGTCTCTCTGTTTTAGTCATCACTCATCGTGGGCCAAACGCTGTCGTCAGATTATGTCATGTATGCGGTGCGCAGGTTTCTCCACCTGAATGAAAGAAATTCACTTTTCGAGGAGACGCGTGTGCTGCCATTACAAAACGTTTGACAGGTGGGAAACGAGTACAGTTGTACCTCTACTTACGAACGTCCCTTCATATGAAACTTCCAAGTTACGAAACGTCTCAACAGGAAAATATTGCCTCTTGCTACGAAAGAAATTTCAAGATACGAAAGGTAAAAATACAGTATGGGCTGCTAATCGCAACATACTTATAGCTACTCTGCCATTGGCTATTACAGAGCATCTTCCTGGCATCCCATTGGCTAAGAGGGACTTCTACCGTATGTGCCGATGCAGCGTCCTCGTCATTTGCCCCTCCGGCCATGAGGTGTTCCCATAGTTTTACGTAAATGTGAATCACCCAGAAAAAGCGTTCACCAGTCGGGCGATCGCTCACCACACGCGTCTCTATTTACAAAATTTTCGAGTTAAGAAATTTCTTCCAGAACCAATTAATTTCGTAAGTAGAGGTACCACTGTATATTATAATTGTAAGTAAATGAAATAAATCTGAAGACAAGGCATTGAATACAAATAATATGAGTGACACATAAAACTAAATATCCGATGAAAAAAAATGCCG